TATCAGACTCGTGCCTTAACTCCTTATGTTTCTCACAACTTTGTTTATCGAAGGGGAGCATCGGTTGCAACAGTTGTTTGGAATTGACCCTCCTCACTATTTTGTTATTCCTTTCTCATCACAGCAGTTTCAATGGTTAATGAGCTCTGTCGCTGCATTTCTCGTGCATCACGTCCTGGTACAGGGCCCTCTGCGCCGGCCGCAGACGCCCCCACTCCTCTGGGGAGAAGTAAACGCGAACCTCACGGTCCCGGGCTTCCTCCACTCTGGCCCGACCTCCTCTGGCCGGTGGACGGGGAACAGGGCCGGGTGCGGAGCCATGGGTCCGGCGCTCTCTCCCCGGCCTCGGCTCGGGGCTCTGGCGGGCCCCGGCTTTGGGGATACAGCAGGGCCGAACCCCGCGGGTCCTCGGACTCGGGGCACTGCGGGGGACACCCAAGAGGCACTGGGACCAGCCTGTCTTGGGGCCCATGCAAACCCTCGGATGTGATTCTCTCCTCTGCAGTGGACCCGGGTCAGAGCACCGGAGGGTAGACCGAGCCAGCGGCGCCCTCACGTGGAATGGCGCCCTGAAGCTTTAAGTCCTTCTCCCTCCCGGGCCCGGTCATTGGGTGGCGCGTGGCAGAAAGCAAGGGACGGCGTTTCGATTGGGTCTCACGAAGTATTGCAGTTTGTGGGAAGCCGGCCCAGGCGGCCCGGCAGAGCCTCTGCGTGCAGCGACATGGAGTGGGGCGCGCGTACGTGGGGAGCACCTGCTGCGGTGCCACCTGTCTCCGAGCGCCGCGCCCGCCCTCCTTCCCGCCCGCACTCGGCCCACGCTCGCCACAGCTCTCTGTCTGCGTTGCTCCGAGAGCCCTGCCTCCTCGGTACCCGGGCTTGACCAACATTCACACGTTTATTGAGCGTCCGCTGTGCTGAGCCCAGGGCTAGGCGCGGGAATATAGAGCAGGGAGCTAAAGGAGGTCTCCTCGATCCCGCACGTTACATTCCTCGCCACCGCCTTCTGGATGCTAAGGTCTCCACTGCACTTGCCTCAAGGGTTAGTCCTCGGGCACCATGTCTGACTTTAACGTGGCATCTCCCAGCATAATGCGGGGGACTGGAGAGAAGTGGCTCTCAGGGTGCTCTCAGTGGTGCACCAGCCTAGTGAGGTAGACACACAAGTATGCAGACAAAGGCGTGTGTGCCTAAGCCAAGGAGGAAAGCGTTCACGGACTCCAGGGAGCTATGAGACAGTGTCTCACCTCCGAGTTCTGTGCGCAGAAAAAAAAACCCCAAAACATTGTGAATCAGATAGGGGGAAAAAATTAATACAGCAATAATAGTTTCCAACTGGATGGAACATGGAGAAAGAGCTAGAGAAATTACATTAAAAGTAGTTGTTCTCGCGGCTGACCAGTTAGCGCAGTTGGTTGGAGCAGTGTCATAACACCACGGTCAGGGGTTCAGATCCCCATACTGCCAGCCACCAAAAAAGGAAAGCATTGTTTTCAGCAGGGATGATAGGTTCAGGCTGTCCTCAGTGTTCAAAAATAGACTGTCCTCACACCCAATAAAATGTCTACTATTAAAAACAAAGAAAAACCAGAAACAAGTGCTGGTGAGGATGTGTAGAAATTGGAACCTTAGTGCACTGTGAGTGGGAATGTAAAAAGGTGCATCTGCTATGGGAAGCAATATTACAGTAGCTCAAAAAATTAAACAATTACCACATAATCTGGCACTTCCACTTCTGGGTATCAATCCAAAAGAATTGAAAGCAGGGCCTCAAAGGGATATTTGTTTTTATTTTTATTTTTTATTTTATTTTCTCAAAGAGATATTTGCACACCCATGTTCTTAGTAGCATTATTCACAACGGCCAAAAGGTGGAAGCAACCCAAGGGTCCATCAATGGATGAATGGGTCAACAAAAATACACGATGGAGGGCCGGCCCTGTGGCGCACTCAGGAGAGTGCAGCGCTTGGGAGCGCAGTGGCGCTCCCGCGGGTTCGGATCCTATATAAGGATGGCGGGCGTGCTCACTGGCTGAGCGCGGTGCGGGTGACACCAAGCCAAGGGTTGCGATCCCCTTACCGGTCACAAAACAGACAAAAAGCCCAAAAAATACACAATGGAATATTATCCAACCTTAAAAAAGAAGGAAGTTCTGACATGCTACAATGTGGATAGCCCTTGAGGACATTATGCTGATTGAAAAAAGCTGGGGCTTGCTGGTTAGCTTAGTTGGTCAGATTGCGGTGTTAGCAAGGGCTTGGATCTCTGTACCAGCCAGCCACAAAAAAAAAAAAAAAAAAAAAAAAGAAGAAGAAGAAGAAGAAAGAAGCCAGTTACAAAAAAGACAATTACTGTATGATTCAACTTGTATGAGGTATCTAGAGTAGTTAAATTCATACAACAGAAAGTAAAATGATGGTTGCCACGGCCTGGAGGGAGGAGGTAATGTGGAGTTGTTTAACTGATATAGAGTTTCAGTTTTTCAAGATGAAAAGATGCTGCAAATTTTTGGTGGAAAGTTGAATGTACAAAGATGTGAGTTCAGTTATGCTGATATGAACAAGCCCAAAAAAACTTAAACCTGCACCTGTACTTCGGCTTTTGTTTTGCACCTGTATCTTCGCTTTTTGTTTTGCTTCTGTAACACTGACCACCTTTTGTATCAGCTTAGCCCCCACTGTGTGGAAACCCAAAACCCCAGAAGAATGTAACTTATATAACCCTTTGCAAGCCTGGGGTCGGGGCTCAGACTTTGGAGTGTGAACTCCTCTGGGCCCACCGGTGTAATAAATCTTTGAGTTCTCCAACCCTCCAAGTGACACGTGTCCTGTAACTTTTCTGGTTCCCTGAAAGCCAACCAGACTGGCCCCTTTAGCCACCACCTTGAGAGGGAGCTGCCCTTGGAGTGGAGGAGCCTTGGCCTTCAAATGAAGTGGCACCACCTGAATGCTTTCTTGGGTCCTCCTTCACCAGGACTCCAACAACTCTGGGGTGACCAGCCTCAGACGGACTCAGTGGAGGAATGGACTAACTCACACCCAAGAACATCAGGATCAGGTAAAGCCCCAGGACTCAGACTCAGTTCAGTTCAGGCCTGCCTCCGGGCAGAAGAGGAGCTTGATCACCTCCCACGGTCATCTTGCGGGAGACCGCCAGTTCAGTCAGGACCTCCCAAGCGGGGAGGAATGTTTTAAACTCTGAATGTCTGTGTGAGTGAATGAATCTTTGTGGCACCAAGGCAACTATGCTGCGGCACCTGAGTGGGCCCTAACCTGCGGTTCCGTGGTCACATCATACGGCACAATAGTGATTCCAGTCTCTGAAGACTGCAACCAGGCCCGGAATTTATACGGGTACACCTTAGCCAAGATGGACCTGACAGTCCCACAAGGAACGCAGCCAGGTGGACATCTGTATGGCTCTTCCTCTCTAAGGAGGGGCACCCCACCCTTGTTCGTCCATGTCACTGCTGCAGGGAGGGTGACACGGGAGGCCAGTGGTGGGAACCCCTTGCTGCTCCAGGTGACATGGTAGGCACTTTTTCAAGGCCCTGGGTGAAGTGTACCTTGGCACCCAATAACGGAGCTTCCTCATCCTCCCAGAAGCAACTTGCGCTTTTGCCTCTGGGACACCATCTCCGGGTCCCAACCCCCCCATAACATTTTTACTCTCCTTTCAGACCCTCTTCTCCTTGCCACCCCCCTTTTACTCACAAGAGGTTTTTGTTCCCCTCTCATTTGTACTACCCCCATTCAGTTTGCCCCCCACCCCACACCAGAGACCTCAAGTCCGTGCAGGGCCTGGCTGCTTGGGTCCTTCCCAGCGGGAGCTCTTTGCCTTCGAGGAGTGGCGACATCAACGCTACTTGGGCTATTGGTCACAGTGGCGTGACCCCCCCTCCCGGTATTGCAAAGAGAGGCACAGGCATTCTCGTTGCCATGGGAGGGACCACTTCTAAACCCACTGTCTTAGAATGCATGCTCAAGAACTTCATAGAGGGATATTCGGGGGATTATGGAGTCGAGATGACTCCTGGAACACTCTGAACCCTTTGCAAACTTGAATGGCCCACCTTCGATGTGGGCTGGCCATCAGAGGGAGCCCTCTTCCTACTGACCATCAGGCCATATACAAGATAGTGACAGGGGATTCTGGCCACCCAGAGCAATTTCCTCTATGCCCCCATGGGTCCAATTCTGCATGCAGGAGGGACAATGCAAGGTCCCAGTGGCAAACACGTTCCGAGACTGGTGGCCTATGAAACCTATCCCTCAGGGGGCCACAGATGATGAGCTATTACCCCCGCCTTGTGCCCCATCTACCCCACTGGGCCCCACCACTCATCACCATCATCCACTGCCAGACAATCCACTAGCATCAGTCCCATCACCTCCACAAACGCCATCAGCTCCCCCTCCCCCAGCCAGTCCCGAGCCAGTGAGAAGACACCTCCACTCTGTGCAGCAACCCCTGGCCCTCCAAATGCCCCTCCGAGAAACCTGAGGGCCACCACAGGTCAATCCAGACAGCAGCGTTCAGCCGGGGTGACCTCTTTTCTACTATCAACCATTCACTACCACTGATCTCTTAAACTGGAAACACTGCACACCTCCCTACTCGGAGCAGCCCCAGGCCCTTGTCAGTCTCCTGGAATCCATCTTCCTCACATATCAGCCTACCTGGGAAGATTGCCGCCAGCTACTTCTCACCCTCTTCAACACCAAAGAACGGCAGTGCATCCTGGTAAGAGCAAGGCAATGGATCCAGGAGCAGGAACCTGCCAGCACTATGGACTCAGAGGCATGGGCTAAAACCACTGCCCCAGATACCACACCAAATTGGGATCTCAATGATAAGGAAGGAAGAAACAACCTCCGATGATACTGAGAGGCTCTCCTCCATGGGCTAAAAGCTGGTGCAAAGAAGCCAACCAACAAGTCTAAGACCTGTCCACCTTCCCAGAAAACAAATTAAACTGCACCCTGCTCCAGTATGTAGATGACCTCCTCCTGGCCAGCCCTACTAAGGAAGATTGTTGGGCAGGCACCAGGGCCCTGCTAAAACTACTCTCCACATCGGGGTATAAGGTGTCCTGGGAAAGCACCCAAATATGTCAACAAGAGATTCAGTATCTCAGGTTCCACACATCTCCGACGGATGTCACTCACTGGGGATAGAAAGAAAGCAGGCTGTCTGTACCATACCACCACCGGACACCAAGAGGAAAGTCCAAGAATTCCTCAGGGCTGCTGGCTTCTGCTGGATTTGGATACCAGGATACTCAGAAAAAGCTAAACCTCTATATGAGGCTATCAAAGGGCCTGAAAAGGAGATCCTAATGTGGGGACCTGAACAAAAGCAGGCTTTCTCAGAAATAAAGACCCTGCTGGTCCAGACCCCTACCCTAGGAATACCTGATGTGACCCAGAACTTCAATCTCTTAGTTTGTGAAAAAAATCACTTGGCTTTGGGAGTCCTCACCCAGACTATAGAACCTTGGCAAAGGCCAGTGGCATACTTGTCCAAGCAACTGGACACTGTGGCAGCCGGCTGGCCATGGTCGCCCTAATTTGGGAGGCAGACAAACTCACCTTGGGACAAAATGCTTCTATCTGCTGAATCCAGATCCCCGGACTATGACTGCAAAGAACTAATGGATGAGATATCCTCCAGCAAACCTGATCTGACAGACCTGCCCTTGACTGATCTGTACACAGAAGTGTTC